AGGGAGTCACAGAATCCGAAGCAGGCTCCAGGCTCTGAGCTGTCAGCCCAGAGCCCGACACGGGGCTCGAACTCATGAAACCTGACATCATGACCTGAGCCGAAGTCAGGTGCTTAACCGACTGAGCCACCCAGGCGCCCCCAAAATGTGTCTTTTCAAATCTTGCCCTTACAGACCGTGAAAAGCATTTGCCATTTGCCATACCGTGCGACATACAAAAGATGGGACAACTGGACACGTAAAAATAAACATTTTCAGTTTAATAGAGTAACTAGAAATGTATCTGTCGCTGCATGAACCATTTTGATATTCATATTTTTCCACAGGACACACATTTTGCCTGGGCTGAAATGAACAGGTCGAGTTGAAAAATGAAAGGCAGGTACAGTGTGGGTAAAGCTGGGAGAAAGTAAGCATGAGGCCGCTGACCCTTTCTGACCCTCCAGAAAAAGAAAGAAGAACCCGGAGCGTCTGCTTCGGTGTCTGGAATGGAAGAGAATACGCAGGAACCTGGAGGGTGCTGGTTCCAGAGAAAGGTTAATAATGGATCATTGCAAGAGAGGGAGCCTTACTGAAATCTTTGTTCTTTTTCACGAAAGGTTAGAAAGGATTGTCTAGGATATTAACTCTCATCAGGAATTTGTTTTTTTGAATATCTTGCATGTTCACCTTGCCCGATACAATTTTTTCCCAGGAGGGGAGATTCGAGACTGTTTGAAGCCATTGGTCGTCCATTAACTCGGAGTCTGAGTACCACCATTCCTGAGAGGAGAGAAAGGGTGAAGAATTAATCAGTGCTCCCAGACTTACGTGACCAAGCCTGGTCTGATACCAGAACTGGTCCAGGGTCCTTGAACTTTTTTAAATATTTATTTACTTATTTTCAGAGAGAGAGAAAGAGAGAGAGAAAATGCATGTGCACATGCGGGAGGGGCAGAGAGAGAATCCCAGCGGGCTCCGTGCTCCCACAGACTGTGAGATCATGACCTGAGCCAAAATCAAGAGTCAGACGCTCAACCGACTCGGCCACTCGGGCGCCCCCAGGTCCTTGTGCTTTTAAACCACATGAACCCACAGACAAATGATGAATTTTGCCCCCCAGACTAGGCTACTGACACGTGACTCTAAATAAACACACGGAAGTATAGGCCCATTCGCTTATTCAACAAGTGCTGAGTACAAGGCGCTGGGCTGGATGCTACGCATGATGTTCGCCTTCGAAGAGTTCACGTTCTCAAGGGGAGGAGAGACCTGCGTAGCAACATTAACACCAAGTGGAAAGCGGTGAGGGCTGCCGAGAAGGGGCGGAGATGTTGCCAAAACAGATTTGAACGCGAGGGAGGTTCCATGGGAGCTCCAAGGGGACGAGGAGGCACACACACCTGAGCTACGGATCTATCGCCCCTTTTAGGAAGAGTCCAGAAAGGCCCGTGATGGCCTTCGGTGCTTGGGGAAAGCTAACGAGGCGGTAGGCTTCTGGGGCTTCCTTGCAAGGGTGGGCATCCCCACGCCACCTGCTGGCTGGTGGTACGTACTTTGCTCATGTTCAGCCAGCATTTCTCCAGCACATTCCCCTGTGTTTCAGAGAGCCGTAAGGCTGTGTTCAGGAACAGGTCACAGTTCTGGCCGTCTCCCATGAGTATACAGACGTAGGCCATCAGGTGGTAAAGCCTCGGGTAGAAGACAGGGCCAGTGGTATTCTGGGTCACCAGACTCTCCAAGTTCTGAAGGAAAAACAGCATATCAGAATCAGAAAGGGTCCTTGGCCGCAACGATTTTTTCTCCACGGATGACGTGGGAACGTTTCAAAGATTGAAGCAATCAAATGAAAAAGCGTAGTACAGAGACATTACACAGGATGTAGTGGACACAAAGCGACACGCGTCAAGTGGGGTAGCTTCAGCGTTCTACCCGGACCAAGCATGCGATATGGGTGGGCTCACTAACCCTTTTCGGCAAGCGCTTTTTTTTTTTTTTAAAGTACCTTTTCTTTTTATTACCAAAGCAATATAAGTTACTGTTCAGAATTTAGGGGGGAAAAAATGGAAGAAAAAAAAGAATCACCCATAAGCTTAGCACCCGGAAAGAAATATGTTTAACATTTAGGTACACGCTTTCCCACTTCTCTCTGTCTCTCTGTCTCTCTCTCTCTCACACACACACATACACACACACACACACACACACACACACATATCATACCCCCAATTGGGATCATACTAATCACATAGTATGACAACTTTTTTTCTCATTTAGCATCACATGATAAACATTTTCCAGTGACATGATTCTTTTACATCAGAGCTCACAAATTCAAATGCTGACAAGAGTCAGGCAACGAACATAAAGAAGCAGGCTGGCTATCGCATGATGAGAGCAGAGGGGATTATGTCATGCTAGAGATGTGTCCTATACAAGTGTCACCTCTCAATGCCGGCCAACAGCTGTCCTTTAGGCATGTGGGCTTGGAGTCACCAGATACTCCAATTTTTAAAAGAAGAGCCAGAAATTCAGAATTTTTACGTAAAATATCCCAATGTTTAAATGTACCATTTCTGACTTAACCAAACTTTTTAAAAAAATTTTTTAACTGTTTTTATTTATTTTTGAGATACAGAGCATGAGTGGGAGAGAGGCAGAGGGACAGGGAGACACAGAATCCGAAACAGGCTCCAGGCTCTGAGCCATCAGCACAGAGCCTGATGCGGGGCTCAAACTCACAAACCGCGAGATCATAACCTGAGCCGAAGTCAGACACTTAACCGACTGAGCCACCCAGGCGCCCCACCAATCTTCTTTCTGAAGTGCATATAGTTTTCATTTTCTCCTAGTTTTTTACTGCTATAAACCTGAGATCAACATCTTTGTAGACAAACTTTTGTTTGTCGTCTGATTATTTCCTTAGGATAATTCCCAGGAAGAGAATTAACCAACGTGCATAGTTTAAAGATATTTTGCCAGAACGCGCTCTGGAAAGTTTACGGGAGTCTTTCAGAGTAGGAGTCTGTCTTCTCACGTGTCTTTGCTAATCTGATGCTCAGCGAAACAATGTCCTGTTGTTTTGTTGCCTTTATTTCAATATGATAGACAAGGGATCAAAATGTTGGGTTTTCCTGACTGACCTGTTAACACGTCTATTTAGTCTACAATTATTTATCTAAGAAATGCTCACCTGCTCTGAACAAGGCATCATTCTGTGTGCCGTGGGAGATACACGCAAGTTTGTGCTTCACTCATTCGTGTTCCTGTGTTGTCTCTACTCCCTCCACCACCCCCCCCCCACCTCCTTTTCGAAGTCAAATAAATCACAAACTTCTTGAGCACGAAGACCGTGTTTTTCTCATCTTTATTGAACCCGGTAAGTACCTATTGTATTTTTCACCTGTACTGTCTTTGGGATAGAGGAGTTTTATCACTTTACTATTCACTAAATAAAGACGTGCTTTCTTTTCATCATCTGCTAGTTTATCTACCTGGACTTTCATATGTCAGACTGGCCAAAAGTGGCCCCCTTTATTAGTATTCGATCAATATTTGAAAGTGATAGTGACAGGGATGCCTGGGTGGCTCAGTCGGTTTAGCGTCCAACTCTTGATTTCGGTTCAGGGCATGATCTCACAGTCGTAAGATTGAGCCCCGCGCTCGGCGCAGAGCCTGGTTGAGATTCTCATGAGTCATTTTCTCAACTCCAGACACTCTATCAAATCACATGAAGTTACAGAAGACATAGTAATTCCGTAAATAATACATAATACAGAATAATCACATAAAGCAAGATAATGTTTCAGGTAACCAAGCGACTCCATACCCTGAATGGAAGCCAGCAGAATGCTTTATGTAACAGAAATACAAATACATGCTCTGTATCCAAAGAGAACGTCCCTCTAAGCAGAGGTGACAATGACCTTTTAAGTATTTCAGGCAGGGATCGGTAAGCAGTGTGAACAAATTGCAGGAGGAGACCCCGGGGCCTGGGTATCGTAGGAGAGTGGTGAGCACAGCTCCTACCTGGGCAGATCGAAGACTTCCTCCTAACAACGTCCTGAGGATTAAATGAGCTACTTGTACTTCAAGATGCCTTGAAGTCCCAGGATGCCTTGCTTTGACAAATTGTGACATCTCTGAAACAGAGACATTCCTAAATTTTCAGCCTCTGGATTCTGCTCACAACCTTAAGGATCATCTTCCGAGATCTCTAGGGAAGATCCCTACCCAGAGATTGTTTGGTCAGCATCTTGATTTTAAAGCCTTCTAAGACCCTAAGCAGAGAACCCGTCAAGCCTGTCCAGACTTCTGACCTGCCCAAGTGTGCGATGAGAGGTTTGTGTGATTTCAGCTGTTAGGTTTGTGGTAACTGGGGGCCCGGCAATGGAAAACTAATACACATGGGCTTAGTTTTGAAGAGGACAAGGCAAAACACTGTCAAGTCAACAGGAGATTTGGCCCTTCTTCCCTTGGAGGGTTTGCCCAGCCTAGGCTGTAAACTCCGAGAGGCGGGTACCGGGTGTGAGTTGCTCCCCCTCACACCCCAGCGCCTAGTATCTGGTGGTTACTGCATATCAGGCAGGAGGCCAGTGTTATTTATTTATGTGTTGTTGCACTCAGCACACGTTTGTTCGGTGAGTGGAAGATACGCACGTCCTGTAATGCTTATACTGAAGTTAAAATGCATTTTAAAAGTTTTTGTTTTTGTTTTTTTAAGAAGTTAACATGAGCCTGGGTGGCTCAGTCGGTTAAGCATCCGACTTTGGCTCATGTCATGATCTCGCAGTCCATGAGTTCGAGCCCCGCGTTGGGCTCTGTGCTGACAGCTTAGAGCCTGGAGCCTGCTTTAGATTCTTTGCTACCCCGCCATCTCTCT